TTAAGAAAAAGGTAAAAATAATTAATCTCCAACTTCTTTTTTTTACGAGAGGTAAATCATGTGCACTTTTCAATCATTTTTAGTTTTCATGAGCAACAGTGTCTAAGATTTATTTTTAAAGAACTTCTTGTAGAAAGTAATGAAATTTTTCAAAATAACTTTTGTTAATAGTCACATTAACTACTCATTTTTTGTAAAATCCCTTATTTTTTTTGACAATATCTAACAAAAGGATGAAAGTTGTTCACTTACAAATACTTAAAGGATGCTTTCTGCTAAAAGTAATACTTTAAGGATGTAGTTTAAGTTTGGGGTATCTTAAAGGATATTTTTTGCTTAAAATAATATTTCAAGGATATAGTTTTTTTTTTTTGTGTATAGTTAAAAGATGTTTTGGCCAAAAGCTCTATTAAAAAGTGCCAATAATTCTATATATATATATATATATTTATTTATTTATTAAACCAAAATTTGCCTTTTACTGAAAACTTAAATAAACAATAAAAGATCAGACGTTCTACTGAAATAAATTTCACTAAAACCAGCTATTTAAATTCTTTGGCTATCTAATTCTTATTTTATTAATATAATGACATATAACACAAAGGTTCTATGGTCTAGCGGTTAGGACATTGGACTCTGAATCCAATAGCCCGAGTTCAATTCTCGGTAGAACCTTCCTTCTTTTTTTTTTGTTTAAATTGAGTTATCATTTTCTTATATCAAATCTAACATTTTAATAAATCAAAACGATAATTAGTATATACAAATCATAATTGTTATATTAGGAATGATAATAAAAGTACCTTTAACAGTTCATAGTATATATTTTGTTAGTAAGTTTAAAACATCTATCTCTATTCGATCACGTTTAATGTATACAAAATATCAGTAGCATATGAAGTTTAAATAGTATCATTTTCAATAATCAAGATAAATTGTGTTAGACTTGTCCGTAGCTTGTCCAAATTTCATTATAGATTGTGAGCAAAAAACTTTATGCGTATAAGCTGAATTTCTATGCACTAAAATCATCTACTATACAAATTACATGGACTCATAACACTTTGTTTTGAAGATCATTACCTATCGTCTTGTATTGTTATTTTGAGTACAATGTTTGTTTTGATAGTTGCGTAATTTTTATTGTATCGTCTAAATCCATTATTAAGTAACAATGAAAAATATCCATTTTGTGTAATGTCCGATTTAGTATGATTGTATCATAACCTTAATATTTTAGTCATAATTTATCGTTATTTATTATTTAAAAACATTATCTTATCATTTACCTTACCTTTTCATAATAATTGTACCCATACCCATACCCTAGATTTCTTGTTGATTTATCTTTCAAATTATAAATATGTGATATTACGTAATGATTCAGTCTATCCAACTGTTTATGGTTATTTAAACAATAGAACACAAAATATACGATATAATATAATATATTATGAATTAATATTTGACAACCATTCAAACAAAATTTAAATTAAATGCATATATGATATATTTTTTAAAAAAATTAAAATTAAATAAATAATTATTCTACTCCTCTATCTGTTTAGATGGGCCGTTGGGGAAGGAAGCCCACAAACCGCATTTGTTTTGGGCTTAACAAAGTTATTAGAAGAACAAACTCCTTTAATCTACAAATTCAAAATTTTGAAAGTTTTAATCAGTCACTTGTTATTATATTATAGTTACTAATTTTTGCCAGAAATAGTCTAATTCTTTTATGGAATTAAAAGTTAAAATTTGATCATAAGGTGCGAAGGTAGAGGTCACAACTTTAACTCTATATCAACCATTTTTTCCTTTTCGTGAGGATCATCAAAACACTTAAAATATAATATTCTCATTTTTTGATGATAATACACAAATATACCTCATATTGAGTTTATCATTTATCTCACTGTCAGCTGTTTTAATAACAAGGATCTGGTTCCTTGTTAGATGAATAAGTTTGTTAAATCATCAAAAACTTCATATCAAGTTCGAACCAACACCTCAAATCAGCTTCGAACTAACATTTTCCCCTTTTTGATTATAACATACTCATTCACCAGTTCTCCCCTATCAACAAGAATTTCTAGGGTAACTTAATTCTCTCGCTTTATACAAACGCAATCGCATTTTATACATTTGTATACAAGACACAATCAAATCAAAGTACGATTATACCATTTAATTTGAATTATTAGCTTGTTATCATATACAATTTTCCCTAAATAAAATCACTTTATAATAACTCCCCGTCTTATATCTAACTAATCTGGAGCCAATAGAGAATGAGCATTGAGTTGTACAGAAATAGTTTGGCGGTTGGAGTTAGTTATCATTAGTTTGCTATTTAGTCCTTTTCTGTTTTCCGTTTTTCATTTTAATCCTTCTTCTTTGATACTCAGAATATATATATATATATATCTGTAACAGAATGAACTGGGAATGAATTTTTCTGTGTAACTCACTCATCAACACTTTTTCATCTTTCTAAACCTAGATCTAAGAGTTGTGAAGCAGCGAAGAATGTCGATAGAGGATCTTCCAGAGGACATAATTTCGAATTTGCCAATCGGTCTGATCGGTGAAATTCACTCTCACCTTCCATGGAAAGAAGTAGTGAAAACTAGTATTCTGTCGAAGAAATGGCGAAGCATTTGGTATTCTCATCCTATAATTTGGTTGGACGAAACGGATTTTGGGGCAGACTATACAAATTACAGTTCTACAGACAAACCCAGAAGAGATGCCTTCTTTACTCACATGATGGAGTTGTTAGAAATCCGTGAGAGGAACTCTGAATTGGACTACAGTGTTAACAAACTCTTTCTTCGAATGACACTTGAATACGATCCTTCTGCTGAACATCTGGTAAACAAGTGGATTTCTTTTGCCTTGGAGAAAAAGGTTAGAATGATATGTCTTGGTCTAAAGAAGATTAATCGTACTCCTTACTACCTGCGTGGAATTGCATTTTCCGGTACTGAATTAGTTGGTTTAACTATATCGGATTGTCACATTACTAATTGTTCATTCAATCTTCCTGCTCTTAAGCTTCTCTTTCTATTCGCTGTTTGCATTAAGGATCATGATTTCAAGGATCTCATTGCTGCTTGTCCTCGAATTGAAAAATTACGTGTTCTGGATACTCGACAGTTGCATACTATTGTAGTTTCAAATCCTCATCTGAAATTTTTTGGAGGGAATCTTTCTTGTTCTAATGGTAAAATACGTATAGAGTCTGCAGAGTTTGATTCACTTGAATTTTCATTCACCAAGTACGCGTGTAAAGTAGAGATTACTTCCGCCACAACTGTAAGAGAGTTGACAGTGGGAAATGCTAATAACCAAGAGGCGTTGATGCATTTGATAAATAAATTCCCTCTACTTGAGAAACTCATCATACATGATTGCAGTAGGTTGCAAAACCTTCATATTTCTCAACGAAATTTGGCTAGCTTGGTGCTGATGGATTGCACGGTAGTACAGTTGGTACGACTAACTACACCCAAGTTGAAATCGTTGGAGTATAAGGGTCCCCACACAAATTTTGAGGGCATAGAAGATTTGGAAGAATTGGAATTCGTTCTGTTGTATTTAGAACCTGTAGACATGGATACATACTGGTGGTACAAATGGCTTCGAGATATTTTGAAGTTGTGTGCTCGTTCCAAGCATTTGAGTGTGATTTGCAATAGTCAAAAGGTAACCCAACCCACCCTTTTTCTTCCACTCTTTTTCAACTTCAATGTCTATAATGGGAACGAGTATACGATTGTTTGGTTTTCTGAGTTGCTTTTTGATGGTTGTCAGGTTATCATCATTCCTGAATATCTAAGACATTTAGTGTCGATAACTGATATGGAGCATCTGGAGTTAGAAATTAAAACACTTGATGCTACTTTTAAAGAGGTTACAGATGAGCTCATTAGTATTCTTCCAGATTTGAAGACTTTGTCATTGACTTTGGGTTCCACCACAAAGTTCTTCCAGGTAATCTACCCGACTCACTACTAAGGAGAGAATTTTAGGATTGCTCTGTTTGTTTGTGCTTGACAAACTTCATATTCTATTATTGCAAATGCAGATTCGTATAGACGAGGATGGTGATCTCTCCGCAGAAGAAGAAGAGCACAATCCGAAACCTAATAGGAGAGTATCCATTCTTAGAAGTATGATCAGCAAACAAATTGGAGAGTGATTTTGTTCTGTTTTTCTACTTACTTTGCATGATCCTCTGTTGACAAAAACTCATCAAGTTACTGTTTGTTTCTCTACATTTCGGTGAAGAAATGTTTTGTTGATTTGCTACAATCAAATATTTCGTTAATCTCTTTCATATTTTCAATACAATTCTCATTTTCATTCCTTTTTATAGAGCATACAATATCTTCCCTTTCAAACTTGGTAACATGGGAAACGTGTTTCAATCTAGGCATAATATATAAATATTGATTTCAAATCGTTCAATTTTAGGTGTGTGCGTATGTTGAATGTATATCTAACTCACTTAAATCCTGTTCCTCTAATCGCTAGACCTTTTAACAATAACTAATTGGGCCTGGATCCCAAATCAAAATCTCTAATAGGGCCTTACGGAGCCAGCTTGGTTCACAAACACACAGCCTTATGTAAATGGAGAATATAATTTGACATCCTAAGCCTAAAAGTTGAGTCTGAAAATATAATGCCTAAGGACAGAATATCGATTTGCCAATTGAAGTCATCCGGGAAATTCAGTGGATCTATTCAGTGAAAACTAGTATTTTGTCGAAAAAATGGAAAATCATTTGGGCTTCTCATCGTAGAATTTTGTTGGACGAAATTGATTTGGTGCTGACTATTCACGATAAGATAAACCCAAAAGAGATGCCTTCTTAACTTACTTGATTAAGTCATTAGAAATCCATGAGAGGCACAAAAATTGTGAAGTTGACGAACTCTTTCTTCGAATGTCAGTAGTTGAATATGAAGATTCTGATACTGCTAAACTAGTCATAAATAAGTGGATTTCTTTTGCCTTGGAGAATAGCATTAAAAAGTTATTTCTCAGTTTACAAATGATTTATCGTGATCGTTACTATTTGTATGGTGTTGCATTTTGCGCAGTTGAATTAATACTATCGGATTGTGAGATACCAAATTGTTCCTTTAAGCTTCCTGCTCTTAAGTTACTCTTTCTATTTGTTGTTCGCATTGACGATGATGATTATAAGGATCTCATTGCTGGATGCTTGCCCACTAATTTGGAGAATGAGAGATTAGAAAAGGAAGAGGGAGATGAAGATGAGAAAAAATTATTGGACGGAGGAATAATAATCTTCTTTGTATTCTTATCTTTCGATATCTTGTAAACTTGTTTGATAAAATGCTGTTTAATGTGTTATATAATTGTTTTGGCGGTTGGAGTTAGTTATTATTAGTTTGCTATTTAGTCCTTTTCTATTTTCTGTTTTGCATTTTACTCCTTTGATACTCACTATATATAATATTCTCTGTATGAATTTTCATCTCTGTAATTCTTTCCCCCGGTACGAATCTGCATCAGTTGGAAACCAACTACACTTGTCATCTAAAAGTTGTGAAGCAGCTGTATCAAAATGACGAAGAAAGAAAGTTCCAAGGGACGTCGAGGCCCCGACAGGATTTCCAGTTTGCCTACTGATATCATGCGTGAAATTCTGTCCTGTCTTCCACTGATAGATGCCGCAGGAACTTGCATTTTATCCAAAGAATGGCAAAGAATTTGGTATGCTCATCCTGTAATTCAGTTGGATGAAGTGGATTTTGGGGCAGACTATTGCAATTACTCTGATAAACACAGAGCCAAAAGGTTCGCCTTCTTAACTTACTTGGAGAATTTCTTAGAATGCCGCAAGAGGCCCTCTGAATTCAACAGTGTTGATGTGGATAAGTTTCTTCTTCGAATGACAGTCGAACCCGATTCTCCTGCTAAAGAGCTGATCAATAACTGGATTTGTTATGCCTTGGAAAAAAACGTTAAATCGTTGTTTCTTGGTTTATATACGTTTAAACATCATCATTACTCGCTGCATGGTATTGCATTTCACACTAATTGGTTAGTCAAATTATCTCTATCGGGTTGTGAGATAAAATGTTGTTCATTCGAGCTTCCTTCTTTAAAGTCTCTGTTTCTATACTCTGTTTGCATTGAGGATTATGATTTCAAGAATCTGATGGCTGGTTGCCCTAATATTGAATGGTTATGTATTCTGGTGAATAATAAAAAATTGCAGACTATTGTAGTTTCAAATCCCAATCTGCAATTTTTCCAAGTATGTCTTCTTAGTTCGAATGGTAAAATACGTATAGAGTCCCCAAATCTTCATTCACTTGAATTTGTAGCTCTTAACTTGGACTTATGTAAAGTAGAGATTACTGCAACGACAACTGTAAGAGAGTTGACACTGCGAAAAACATATCACAAAGGGACAGTGATACATATCATAAATGAATTCCCTCTACTTGAAAAGCTAGTAGTATATGGTCCAACTGAGTTGCAAAACCTTCCTATTGATCAACCGAATTTGGATACGTTGGTGCTGAAAGATTGCAAAGTAAAAGACGAGGTACGAATAAATGCACCCAAGTTAAGATTGTTTGAGTTTATGGGTGGCCTACAAGATTTGAGGGCATAGAGGATTTGAAAGAATTGGAGTTTGTTCTGTTAAATTTAGTTGCTGTAAGTATTGATGAGGCCTGGTACGGTTGGTTTGGAGATCTCTTGAAGTCGTGTGCTCGTTCCCAGCATTTGAGTCTGATCTGCAATAGTGAAAAGGTAATTTCCTTTTTTCTTTCTTCCATATCGATGTTCTTTAACTGTATGCCATACTGCATTTTCTGAGTTGCTTTTTTGATGGTTGGTCAGGTTATCATCATTCCCAAACATCTAAGACATTTAGTGTCAGTAACTGATATCAAGCATCTGGAATTAGAAATTAAAACACTTGATGCTACTTTTAAAGAGGTTACAGATGAGCTCATTAGTATTCTTCCAGATTTGAAGACTTTGTCATTGACTTTGGGTTCCACCACAAAGTTCTTCCAGGTAATCTACAACTCCAATTGGTTTTTTCACAGTTAACAACTAGTGCTGGCAATGGCACTGCACGATGAGCTCAGTAAGGATAAAATTTTAGGATATGATCAGTGAGGATTCTACTGTTTTACTTTTCGTGTCTCTGTTTGTTTGTGCTTGACAAACTTCATATTCTCTTATTGCAAATGCAGTTTCGTATAGACGAGGATGGTAAGCTCTCAGCAGCAGAAGAAGTAGTGCACAATCCAAAACCTGATAAGAGAGTATCCATTTCTAAGTAGATGTTTTAAACACCATACTGGAGAATGATTTGAAAGAATGCTTTTGTTCTGCTTCTTTTGACAATAACTGATGAAGTTACTGTTTGTTTCTGTACATTTCGGAGAAGAAATATTTTGCTCATTCAAGGTTGATTTGCTATGTTTCATTACTCTATTTCGTATTTTTAGTCCAAGTCTCATTTTCATTCCTTTTTAGTGAATGTTGCATTTATGCTAAGTACAAGTGTTGTGAAATCCATCAGTTAGACATGATTACTGATTACGTGTGAAAGTTGCACAATATATATATTCTAGTTTCAAATTATCAACTGAAATTTTTCGGTTGACATTTCTGAAAAAAGACATTGATACATTTTATAAACAAATTCCCTCTACTTGAGAACTCGTCATAGATGATTGCAATATCTTTAAGTGACATTAACCAAGTTATTTTGAACTCCAACATATACAATATCGATTTAACACATGCTTTAACAATATACAATTATCACAAGTAGACCTGGTCCTCTCAAGGAATTCAAATCCAAACGGTTAGTGCACCAGAACGTGGTACTCGATCCAAAGTTAGTTATGCTGAAACGTAGCAATTCTATCCCATTTACATGCCTGAACGTGGCAAACGATCCCAATTAGTTATGCCGAAACGTGGCAATCCGATCCATTAACACAGCACAATCACATTCACAATTATATTCTCAACAATTGATTCATACATTCAAGAAGAGATTCAAGGTACAAATTATTCGCTCATACTCATTTACAATTAGTGTGATGAATAAACCAACATTCACATATAAACATGCATTATAATGAAGAAACAACAAGAATACATCACACATTCATAGAGTCACAACCATCGCTTACCTCGATCGGAACAAGCTTAAAACCCTAAGAAACTTGGTTCTTCCCTTTCCGATTCGTCCCGCTTGTTCGTGGTACACAAATAATCAATACAATACGGGAATCAATAAACAATCACTAATCACCCGGATTTCTAATAATTCTACAACCCTAGATCATCCCATTGATCCAATTAGGGTTGTTCCCATCATGAATTCTAAGATCAAAACCCTTCCCCGTTGATAATAACCCAAGAAAATAGGTTCTACGGATTGATAATAAAATCGGGGAGTTAAAATTTTACCTTTCATGTTTTGTTGTTATTTAGTATTAATGAATATGAACATTAATGTATCAAAGATAGTTGTTTAATGATCATTTTGCCCTGTTGGTGTCACGACCGGAATATAGACCCCAGACGAGACCGGCGTCGTTGACCTCTCAGAGGTCGCAAACAAGCCTACTTACGTCATTCTTACTTTACATAGGTTAATTTTAGCGGAAAAATTTGAATTTTTTGATTCTTTAATCATACTTGTTAAACATTCTTAATACTTCGTAACCGTTCATCATCAACCATCTAACATTTAAGAGATAAGCAACTGAAAGAAATAATTCATTAAGTATTAATAGTATATCGGCCAAAATAGCACTTATACAAAGTCTGAACCAAAACAGGAAAGAAACGCTAGTGGAACATACTCCACTAGCTCAAATCTAAAACTACACTAGAAAGTAAAACAGTAGCATCCTCGAAAGCATGAGGACCTACCAAACTCCGGATGAATGCTGACGTCCGGACAGCTGCAACAACGAACCTCTAGCTCTACCGTCCACCTGTGCCTGCACCTAAAAATAGATATTTGTATGGAATTAGTACACACTTGTACTAAGTATGGGTATATACAAGCACACACCAGGGACATGCATGAGGAAGAAGAGCTCTTTCCTAACAACATGATGTTTGGAAGTCAAGTCAGTGGACTTGCTAAATTGAGATTGGGGAAGTTATGCCATGAGAGTGACATGCATCATTATAATCATCATAGGGCACACAACACATAACATCTTCATATAGCACATAACATATAACACATAGTTTCTTTCATATTATTCATTCATATACCATGAGACCTTATTATCATAGACTTAACCTTAAGACTTTCCAAAATGAGGGCTCAACATATGGGACCTCAACTAGGGAGCCTTCTTTAGCAAACACAGAGTCTGCTTCATTCCTTCATACGTATTTTATTTTAATTCATTCATAGGCCAGTGCGAACACCAGCTATACCTAGGATGTAGTTTAAGACTTTTATCGGGTTTGCTGTGCAATGATCAGGAATAACCTAATGTCATTACCTGAATCTAGCTTACCTCTTGATTATCCTATCCTAACACCTTCGGTATCATTCTTTTCTTTATATGATTCATTTGAGGCTGGCCTCATTCATTCATTGGGAACTTTAACTTTAACCGACATAGATCATGTGAGCATCATGAAATCCAGTGTCTCCCCCACACCGAAAAGAGGTGGAATCACCGGCCAAAGCGATTCAATAACATGCTAGCGTATATGGGAATTTAACCCCGCCAGATCCCTATAGTGGCAATATAGGTTCAAAGACTAGGAGATGTATGGAGACCCATACCCGGCAAGCCGGACAGTCTCATCTCATGAGATTTACGTGAATCTCCGCCCTTCCCGAAAAAAGGCATCACCGCTCATAGCTAGCCTATCGGTGCTCGGTATAAAGTTCCATTACATTCAACTCATACATCATGGAAGTTGGCTTCTAGTATGAGGACGTCATAGCTCAGTAGATGATTTCTCATCTCATCATTAGTATTAAGTGTTTTAAACTCAATATTTTCGTTAGAGTATTCATCGAGACTGATCTCTTTATTATCTTACACTCTCATTGGTGAGTACGTGTTGGTAACATTTACTTAGGCTCATTTGAGATTGCTCTCATCATACACATTAGCCTCACATCATGATTGTCACCACATTCTTCATTTCATTACGTATATCTTAGGTTCACTTATTCTTGAATGTATGTTAAACTTATGTGTCTATACGTACAAGCCATGAGGTTTCATTTATAATTCGTTAAGTGATTCTTATTTTCCTAAGATTATGTATTACAAGACTTATGTATCTTGTGTATATATACCAAGATCTTGATTTTTGATCTAAGTAGATGGCATTATTCTTGAATATTTTACTCACGTATGACTTATGTATCAATGCGGAGGTTTGGGCACGGGAACTCAAATCTTGAATTATTTGGATATCATTTATATTTTTCATTGATTTTATTTCTAATATTCGTATCTTTAGAACTCTAAATTAAATTTCAACAATTTCATGACATAATAAATTTTCTATTTTAATTAGAATTCTAAATTAAGTTTCAATCATTTACATGAAAGAATTAATTTTCTATTTTAATTAAAATTCTAAATTAAATCTCCATATTTACATGAAAGAATTAATTTTCTATTTTAATTAGAATTCTAATTAAATCTCAATATTTACATAAAAGAATTAATTGTCTATTTTAATTAGAATTCTAAATTAAATCTCCATATTTACATGAAATAATTAATTTTCTATTTTAATTAGAATTCTAATTTAAATCTCAATATTTGCATAAAGGGATAAATTTTATATTTTAATTTTACTATTAATTAACCGAAGGGTTGGGGGTTCGAGCCCCCACAACCTCTTAACTTTTTAATTTAATTAAGTTCACTACAATGGGGAGGTTGTGGGTTCGAACCCCCACAGCCTCCCTTATTTTTGTTTCAATTTCGCTGAGGGGGGCTGTTAGGTGGTGGGTTCGAACCCCCACAGCCCCTCTATTCTTAATATATTTTTTTTTCTTTTTAAAACCCTTCCCTTCGCGTACTGGGAGGTCGTGGGTTCGAATCCCACGCCTCCCCTTTAATTTTTTTTTTCCGCGTATTGGAGGAGCTGGTCGCGAGTTCGAACCCCTCCAGCCCCATTTTTTTTTTTTTTGCGCAAGACAGGGGCGAGGGCTCGATCCCGGCCAGCCCCATTTTTTATTTTTTTTAATTAAGGCATGCTGCAGGGAGGTCCTGGGTTCGATCCCTGCAGGCCTCAAAACTTTTTTTTTTAATTTCTTTGACGTCAAAAAATTTCCAAATTCTTTTAAAGCCTATTTCTAAGTTCTGAAAATTTATTCCATGATTTTTCTGCACTTTTTCTTCAAATTTCACATTAGTTCTTAGGGAGATTTCATGGTTCATTCAATTCACTATACTTCATCATAATAAATATCACATTGTACACCCATTACACACTTAAAATACACGATATATACACAACTTATACACCCCAAAACAGTGACTAAAACACTGCCCTATACATTAATTTTTTCGGTCATATTTTGATGATCATTATCGTGATTTCCCGCACATAAACACATTCATATTTAATTCAAACACATCATTCATGCAAAAACCTAGCATTCCTATTCTTAATTTTACTTCATGTTATGAAAAACTTTATGATAAATGTTTATGTTATTCTTATGTTACTTCCGCGTATATATTTTATCTTTCTCATGTTTGATGAGCTTGAATGTTATGAAATGTGTTTTTCAAATGAACTTATTTTCATCTATATTTAAAAAAAAAAAAAAAAGATTTTCGTACATAAAATAATTGTTGCTGTTTTTTGTTGTTTTTTTTAAAAAAAAAACTCTTTCAACCTCGCCATCTAACCCCAACTTGGTTACATGGGAAGTTTGTTAGAATCTAGGCACAATACATAAATAGGATACATTACTATGTACATAACATTACTTTACCTATTTCCAATATTTCTCTACTCTTTTTATTAAAATACAAAAATTGCTTATTTTCCCCCAAAGATACTTAACCGGATACTTTATTATTTTGAAGAAAATCAGATCTTTTTCATTCCCTAATTTTCGCCCTCAGTATCTCCCACTAAGATTTTTGTTATCAAATTAAAATAATTTTGAACTTCAAAAGAATCCCATGACATTCAACCAGATTCAAAGTTCAAATTAGGTTTTCTCATCTTCTCCATTGCGATTTTCATTTTTTTTAATTGTGTATCAATCGTTTTGGCTTGCATTGTGCATCTAACATCTAACAAATCTATAATTTTTGTTTCAGAGATTCTAACAACAAAGATTGAGTTGGAAAAAGGTTGCATGGTCCGATAGTCATGACAAACCAAAGTTCTAGTAAGAAAAAATCGATAAAGAAAGTATATGCATCTACTTCAAAAGATCCGAAAATTCCAAAGAAAAAAGGGATAGAAAGGTTGTCCCTCCCACTATTCGACCAACACTATCCATGACATGCAATTTTATCATATATGTATGCTTTGTTATTTTTTTTAATATGGTGATTATTTTTTCAATTAAGTATCCTTTTTGAAATTTGCTGTTGTTTTTCACATACATTAATTCTTTGCGAATTTGTTTATAACGGTAACCATATCAAAAGTGAAGAGAATTTTATTGTATATAAGTGAAGTACTCAAATCACATTTACTTTGTCATAAAGTATTGACTTTTTGATGAATAATTAGATTTGTGTTTTTTGTCAATGTATATAAGGAATAATGAAATTTGTGTACCTTTCATGTTTTGTTGTTATTTAGTATCAAAGAACATGAACATTAATGTATCTAAGATACTTGTTTAATGCCCATTTTGACCTGTTAGTTGGTTTTGGTACTCTGCATCACATTCCATGATAATTTATCTATATGGTACTTAATACTCAAATCAAATCACATTTACTTTTTCATAAAGTATTGACTATTTCATGAATAATTGAATTTGTGGTTTTTTTTCACTTTATTTAAGGAAAGATGAAGTATACATCTAACTCACTTAAATCCGATGAAACAACGATAGCCAAAGTTTCGACATAATTTGCATAACTATTTTTCTAATAGCTAGTAGACCTTTTAACAATAACTAATTAGGCCTGGATCCCAAATTAAAATCTCTAATAGCCCTTACAGAGCCAGCTTGGTTCACAAAGACACAGCCTCATGTAAATAGAGAATATAATTTGCCATCGATCTTCCTAAACCTAAACCTAAAAGTTGAATCTGAAAAAAATATAAATATATCCTTTTAACTTGATTTCAAATTACATTTATGTCGTTTAACTTTAGATGTGCATATGTCGAATGTATATCTAACTCACTTAAATCCGATGAAATAACCTTAAAACTGTTCCTCTAATCATTAGACCTTTTAACAATAACTAATTGGGCCCGGATCCCAAATCAAAATCTCTAATAGGGCCTTACGGAGCCAGCTTGGTTCACAAAGACACAGCCTTATGTAAATAGAGAATATAAATTGAGATCCTAAACCTAAAAGTTGAGTCTGAAAATATAACGGCGATGGACAGAATATCGAATTTGCCAATTGAAATCATCCGTGAAATTCAGAGTCGTCTTCCACGGATCTATGCAGTGAAAACTAGTATTTTGTCGAAAAAATGGCAAAGAATCTGGGCTTCTCACCCTAAAATTTTGTTGGACGAAATTGATTTTGGTGCCGACAATTCACGATACAGAGCTAAAGATAAACCCAAAAGAGAGGCCTTCTTAACTTACTTGATTAAGTCGTTAGAAATCCGTGAGAGGCACAAAAATTGTGAAGTTGACGAACTCTTTCTTCGAATGATAGTTGATTCTGATGCTGATGAACTGCTCGTAAGCAAGTGGATTTCTTTTGCCTTGGAAAATAGCATTAAAAGGTTATGTCTCAGTTTACAAACGATTCGTCGTGATCATTACCATCTGTATGGTGTTGCATTTTGTTCTCATAAATTAGTTGATCTAATACTATCGGATTGTAAGATTAAAAATTGTTCCTTTAAGCTTCCTGCTCTTAAGTTACTCTTTCTATTTGTTGTTCGCATTGAGGATGATGATTTTAAGGATCTCATAGCTGGATGCCCACTGATTGAACAGTTACGGGTTCAGGACACTAAAAAGTTGCGTACTATTAATCTAGTTTCAAATCCTAACCTGCAATTCTTTGGAGTGCATCTTCCTTGTCCTCATGGTGGTGGTAAAATTCGTATAGAATCCCCAAATCTTCATTCACTTGAATTCATTTCATTCAACATACACCTGTGTGAATTAGAGATTATGTCCACCACAACCGTACGAAAGTTGACGTTGCTACATGCTTATGACCCAGAAACATTTATAGAAAAATTCCCTCTACTTGACAAACTCGTCCTAGATACTTGCGGTTGGTCGCAAAAACTTCATATTTCTCAACCGAATTTGGTTAGCTTGGTGCTCAAGGATAGCACTGTGCGGCGGGAGGTAAGAATAGATTCACCCAAGTTAAAATCATTGGAGTATAAGGGTGGCCTCACAGATTTTACGGGCATACAAGATTTACAAGAATTGGAATTCGTTCTGTTATATCTAGATCTCCTTAAGCTTCCTGATAACTGGTACAGTTGGTTTAGAGATATTTTGGAGTCGTGTGCTCGTTCCAAAACTTTGAGTTTGATCTGCGATATTCAAGAGGTAACTCTTTTTTTGGGACTCTCCAGTTCTCTATCGTTCCTTAATTAGTTGCATGCCATACTGCATTTTCTTGGTTAAAAAATATTGCTATTTGAATTTGACTTGCAATATTACTATTTGAATTTGATTTGCGTGTTAACATTGTAAAGCTCATAGAATACATCTATGTCAATCATCTTTAATGTTCCTTTATTACATGACACAACTTTTTCTTGATGCACATCTCCAGCTTCCTAATCTTAATAAAGACGAAGAAAGTGCTTGCATATTATATTATCAGTAACACATCCATAATAGCTTAATTGGATGAAATGTTACGAAACCTTTGATTTGAAACACTGAGTTGAATACTAGCTTAATATACTTTGTTTCCCAAGACATATATATAATAAGCTGTGGTATCTTGACATACACTATTTACAAATGTTAATATATTGCAAATTAATGTTTGTTTACAATTTTGTCAATCATTTCGGTTTCAACTTGAAATAGACAATTTGAAGTTAAACAACTTGTTTGAGGAGGCATCTCAAGGGAAATAATGGTTCATTTTCTAGTGAAATTCATTTCCAGTCACAATCTTCTGAGTACTCTTCAACGTGATCATATAGTCTTGTCGTCAACATCACTAAATGTTTTCTAAATGGGACACCAGAACGAGTATACGATTGTTTGGTTACTAATCATTCTTAGTTGCTTTTGATGGTTGCCAGGTTGTCCTCATTCCTGTTAAGGTAACTGATATATTACCAGTAAATGATATCAAGAATCTGGAGTTAGAAATTAAAACACGTCATGGTACTTTTGAAGTGGTTATAGCTGAGCTCATCAGTATGCTTCCAGATTTGAAGACTTTGTCATTGACTTTGGGTTCCACCACAAAGTTCTTTAAGGTAATCTACAACTCCAATTGGCTTCTAAATTCTATTATTGTCGTTAATTTTTTGTCAAGTCATTTTGGCCGGCAATGGCACTGCACGAATGACTAGGAAGAGATTGTAGAATGGCTGAGGATAAAATATTAGGATATGCGTGAGAGTTCATGGATTCGACTGTTTTAGTCTTATTAGGTTGGAAGTGTTTTTCCTATGTTTTTTATTTCCGTCTCTGTGATTGTACTTGACGAACTTCACATTTATTATATTGCAAATGCAGTTTTCGTAGAGAGGAATGATGTGAAGGAATTAACAACTCTTTTTGAACTCCATATTATCGATCAGAGGTTGAAGCTTAGAGATTTGCAACTGTTATCGCTGAACAATTGTTCCACGACTTGGTCAGTCGCTATGGTACTGGACCAGTTTTTAATTTAATATGTAGTGATAGGTGTAATTTATTCTATTTTTTTCTGCAGAAGTGCCTCTTTAACTCTTGAAAACTTTGCTACCATCAATATTACTTTGCTTATTAATGGCAGATGCAGCATTGAAAGGTCAAAACATTAGAAATTAGAGCGTTTTCACTTGTGTAACATGGCATTCATAGCTTCTAAATTGGTTGAGTTAGAGATGAAATTTCAAATTGTTCTTTAAGGTTTCCTACTCTAAGGTCACTTTTTTTTCTGAATTATGTATCCATTGAGGATGATGATTTCAAGGATCGGATCTCCTTGTTGTGTGTCCTAGAATCGAAGAGTTAAAATATTGACTTTACTACAAACAAAAACAACTTTTAGCAGCACTAAATATTGACACTAATAAAGAGTGCTAACATCGTTACTGGCATTAGTTAAGTGTTATTAGAACTAATATCGTTAAAGACTTTAGGGACATATATAAAAAGTGACAATTACCGTTAAAAATACATATTTAGCGGCAATTAAGAATTAAATGTCATTAATGGTTATTTTTTTTGTAATGCTAGTATGATAAGTTTCAAATCCCAACCCTAAAACATTTTACCCTAGTAAAGTTGTGATAGAGTCAGGACATTGATGCATGAGTTCCCTCTACTTGAGAAACTCGTGATAAGTAGTGGTCTATAAATAATCAATACAATTCGGGGATCAATAAATAATTGCCAATTATCCAGAGTACTAACAATTCTAGATCATGAATTCTAAGATGAAAATCCTTTAACATTTGATAATAACTCAAGAAAATAAGTTCTACGGATAAAAATGTTAATAAAAAATTATATATTAAATCACTTGATTGTAATTTAATTAAGCTCAACCTTAAAATTTTAAACAAGTTGGCACTACAACAAAAAAAAAATTTAATACCCCTAATTTGGATCCATCTACCAATCAGAAAATATTTATTAATTTTCTCATATTTAATTAGCTTAAATATTTCTAAAAGTGTTTTCCAATTTTCTTCTTATTTTTTAAAAAAAAAATTAAAAAAGACTTTGATAACATAAAATACTCTTTCAAGCTCACCAAATCCCAACTTGAGATCTGATTCATGACTTGAGACACAACGATGACTCTAATCTCCAATCTTGACCACGAGTGGGCTCGGGGTCATATCAAGTTTCAATTGAGTTAGTTTGCTATTGAGTCCCTTTCTATTTTCTGTTTTGCATTTTAATCCTCCTTCTTTGATACCCACAATATATATATATAACAGAATGAACTCATTATTCTTCTCTCTGTAATTCTTTTTCCCCATTACATCAGTTGGAAACCAACACTTTTATCTTGAAAATGACGAAACGAAGAAGGTCTCAGGACAGAATTTCCGATTTGCCAGAAGAATCAGTGAACGGTATTTCCGATTTGCCAGAAGAATCAGTGAACGGTATTTCCAATTTGCCAGAAGAATCAGCGAACGAAATTTCCAATTTGCCAGAAGAATCAGTGAACGGTATTTCCAATTTGCCAGAAGAATCAGTGAACGGTATTTCCAATTTGCCAGAAGAATCAGTGAACGAAATTTCCAATTTGCCAGAAGATTCAGTGAACGGTATTTCCAATTTGCCAGAAGAATCAGTGAACGAAATTTCCAATTTGCCAGAAGAATCAGTGAACAGAATTTCCAATTCGCCAGTGGACAGAATTTCGAATTTGCCAGTGAACGGTATGTCGAATTCGCCAGTGAACAGAGTTTCCAATTCGCCATTGGACAGAATTTCGAATTTGCCAACGGATATAATCCGTGAAATTCAGTCTTATCTTCCATGGAAAGTTGGCGCGAAATTCAATATTTTGTCGAAAATATGGCGAAGAATTTGGGCTTCTCATCCTAGAATTATTTTGGACGAAATGGATTTTGGTGCCGACTATTCAGAATATCGTGTTTCAGATAAAGCTAAAAGAGTTGCCTTCTTGAGTTACTTGATCAAGTTGTTAGAAAGCCGTAAGAGTCCCTCTGAATACGATTGTGATATTGACAAACTCTTTCTTCGAATGACAACACTTGAAGACTCTCCTCCTCCTAAAAATCTGGTAAAGAAGTGGATTTGTTTTGCCTTGGAAAAAAACGTTAAATTGTTATCTCTTGCTTTAAAGACGATTTACCCTAATCATTACTACCTGCATGGTATTGCATTTTGCTCTACTACATTAGTTGATTTAACTATATCCGATTGTCACATTACGAATTGTTCATTCAAGCTTCCTGCTCTTAAGTTTCTCTTTCTATTCGTTGTTTGCATTGAGGATCATCATTTCAAGGATCTCATTGCTGCTTGTCCTCGAATTGAAAAACTACGTGTTCTGGATACTCAAAAATTGCATACTATTGTAGTTTCAAATCCTCAACTGAAATCTTTCGGAGTTCATCTTCCTTGTTCTGATGGTAAAATACGTATAGAGTCCCAAAATCTTCATTCACTTGAATTTATTTCATTCATTGTGGACTTGTGTGAATTAGAGATTACTTCCACAACAACCGTAAGAGAGTTGACATTGCGAAAAGCTTATCATCAAGAGACAGTGATGCATTTTATGAAAAAATTCCCTCTACTTGAGAAACTCAAGATAGATGATTGCACTATCTTAAGTGAAGCTGAGATTAATCCATTGCCAACAGTACGGAATTTGACATTGCGAAGAGCTTATCATGAAGAGACATTGTTGAATTTTATAGGAAAATTCCCTCTACTTGAGAAACTCGAGATAGATGATTGCAGTATCTTAAGTGAAGCTGAGATTAATCCAATGCCAACGGTACAGAAGTTGACATTGCGTAATGTTTGTCAAGAAAATACGGCATGGGCGGTTTTTTTAGAAAAATTCCCTCTACTTGAGAAACTCCTGATAGATGATTGTGATATGGTAAGTGAATTTGAGACTGGTCCATTGCCAACAGTAAGGAATCTGACATTGTGTAATGTTAGAGAAAAATATACGACATGGACGGATTTTATCAACAAATTCACTCTACTTGAGAAACTGATCATAGCTGATTGTAAGTTGCAAATGCTTCATCTTTCTCAACCAAATTTGGCTAGCTTGGTGCTGATGGATTGCATTGTAGAAGACGAGGTACAAATAAATTCATCCAAGTTAAAATCGTTGGAGTTCAAGGGTCGTCTCACAAAAATTAAGGGCATAGAAGATCTGAAAGAATTGGAATTCGTTAAGGTATATTTAGATCCTGTAAGGCTTTCTAAATGCTGGTACAGATGGTTTAGGGATATTTTGAAGTCGTGTGCTCGTTCCAAGCATTTGAGTGTGATCTGCAATAGTAAAAAGGTAACCCTTTTTCTGTCTTCCATATGCATACGATGTTCTGCATTTCTTCCAAGTACTCTCTTTCAACTTCAACGTCATATAGTCATTGTTGTCAATATAATGGGACACCAGAACGAGTATACGATTGTTCGGTTTTCTGAGTTGCTTTTTGATGGTTGTCAGGTTATCATCAATCCTAAATATGTAACAGACATATTGCCAGTAACTAATATGGAGCATCTGGAGTTGGAAATTATTTCACGTCATGGTACTTTTGAAGAGGTTATAGATGACTTCATTAGTATCCTTCCAGATTTGAAGACTTTGTCATTGACTTTGGGTTACACCACAAAGTTCTTCCAGGTAATCTACAACTCCAATTGGCTTTTCCACAGTTAACTTTTGTCTGGTCGTAACAGCTAGTGCTGGCAATGACTAAGGATGAATCATAGAATGAATGACTGTTTTAGTATTTGTTACTTTTCGTGTCTCTGATTGTGCTTGACAAACATCATGTTCTATTATTTGCAATTGCAGTTTAGTAGAGCGGATAATGTGCTCTCAGCAAAAGAAGTGCCCAATCCAAACCTGATAAGATTTTGAGATTGGAGAAGTTGTGCAGCCAAATAATTGTTCCATGATTTGAAAGAATGCTTTTGTTCTGCTTCTTTTGACAAAAACTGATGAAGTTACTGTTTGTTTCTGTACATTTCGGAGAAGAAATATTTTGCTCATTCAAGGTTGATTTGCTATGTTTCATTACTCTATTTCGTATTTTTTACAACAAGTCTCATTTTTATTCTTTTTTATTGAGCATGAAATTATTCAGAGAATAGATGCACTGAAGTTTCCACCTTATTAGCACCACATAGGCAGCATTTGTCATCTTCAACTGGTATTTGCAACCTACACTTCCTCTCTTTCCTTAGCAGCTTACCTTGATAGAAAATTTTGTTGAGGTTATACAGTTCATCACTAATCGTATGAATGTCTTCGGAAAGCCATAGCCCTGTAGTGCCTCCTCAATGAACTCCCATATCATAAGCCTTCCCTGAGGTCTCTATCTTCATCATACACCGCGGGGATGTCTTTCTCTTGTAATGCCTTAGAAGGTCGTAACATATCAACACATTATGCACTAGTGACCTTCCTGTAACAAAGGCTGCCTGATTTTCTGCGACAATATAGCTAACAGCTCCTTCCACAGATCATCTTGGAAATTATCTTGTACAACACATTACAACATGATATAGGTCTGAATTGGCCTGCATTTTGAGGGGTTAGTGATATCACAGTAGCATTCAACTGTTGCAGTAGCTTACCATTTTTAAATAGTTGCATTTTTATAGTCATGAATGGATAAAAAAATAAATCATGCGACAAGATTGTCTAATTTATTTTAATGAGAAATGGAGCGTGAAATATATGTATTGTTTAAGTAAAGCTCTAGAATTAGTATCCTTGAATGACAGTTTCTTTCAATTATAAAACAGTTCTTAAACAGTACTTCCTCCGTTTAAAAAGAAATATTCATGTTTCTTTTTTAGTTTATTTCAAAAAGAATAATCCGTTTTTCTTTTTTTGGCATCATTTTAATTTTAACTCTTCACGTGACATGTTTAAGACCACAATATTATAGGACATTTTGGTAGATTTGACATAATTTTAATTTAGAACCACAAGATTAAAAAATATTCCTTCTTTTTCTTAAATTTTGTTCCAAGTCAAACTAGGTGATCCTATTTGAAACGAAGGGTGTAGTAAAAATGTACGTTCAAATTCTATTTTCAATTTTAAATAGTAGTCTTTTAATAGATGAGAAGATGAAAGATGCAAATCATAATTAGACTAGGTAAAAGAATTTAACATTATGATTAATTACTGTTGTGAACTTGGAATCTAGTCTAGTTTGAATGGATAGGAAGATGAAATATAAGGAATAAAATTATTCAATTTAAGATTTTCATTTTTAAAAATCACTTAGATACAATTATGAATAAAATAAATTTTGACATGATAAAATAAATTATTTTTTTTAATTTCATATATACATGTACTTCACAAATAATTACAATTTAAATAAACTCGTGCCAGATAAAATAATTTGTATATTTAGGTGGCAGTCATGTGGATCTTTATTCCATGTAAGACGCTTACGTGTTGAGTCACGTGGCTTATTTTTTCCACATCAGATGCCACGACATGAGGTTAACGGAGCTATTAAATTGGAGAATATTTGTGGTCTCTTATGTTAAGAACAAGGGTATTTTTTGAGCCAAAAATGAAACAGAGGGTATATTTGCTCTATTTCAAATAGTTTGACGTTACTTTTGATCCTATTCCGTTTAATTAATATTATTCATCTTAATTCCTTGTTATGACAAAAGTATTGAGTAGTTTAAGTGTGTATTTGTTCATATTCAAAATTAAAGGACATAAATGTGAAATTAGACCAAATTAAAGAGCTTATTAATGTATTATGTTTTGAATCTAATAGGATCATGTATCGAGTTGTTGGTACGGTCATATCAATTTCAAGAATGAGTTTGTGTTAAATCTTGGTTTTTTAGTTCCGATGTCATAGTATTTTCCCAAATTAATCTAAATCATCTAAGCCAATAATTTCTTATTACTAACTAAACATTAGAAATAGGTAAGAAAATTATTTATTTACCTACCAAACAAGTAAGAAAATTATTTATAAAGAAAACAAATTCATTTGTGGGAAAATTTTTTACTAAGCTCCTCTTCTCTTTGTTCTAAAAAAAATTTAATCTAAATTTTTAAATTCATACCTCTTATATAAAAAAAAAATTGTTCAAGATATGTGCAGAAAATTCATATACTTAAACGATTATTTATTCTTCTTCCTTAATTTAGTCAAGGTTCAATACTTTACAGACAAAAATTGCATATTATTGATTAGATATTCAAGCCAATATGGAAATCACTAGAGGAATTAAATGTTTTTGTTGCAAAATTATTTCAGAGCAACCCGTAGATAAGATTCAAGGGAGAATGCACAAGTATTCCTTAAATTACGATCGAAATCCCAGAGACATACCTTAATTAAACTAAGATCCTATTACGCCTCTAAACTTTTTTTTTTAATTTTATATACATTTTATCTTGCATGACACATTTCGTGACTCCACGTAATTGAGGCGCGTGGGAGATATTTGGATGTCACGTAAGTAAAAAAGGTGCACAAAATTACAAAAAAAAAATATGTTCAATGGGGGCAATAGGACCTTAGTTTAGTTAAGGTGTATTTCTGAAATTTCAGTCATAATGTAGGGAGCTTGTGCATTTTCTCAGGATTTAATAATCTTTTCAATGTTTATCTCTAAAGCGCCTAATTTGGGTGTATTTCACGCATTTTGTCAAGTTTTGGATAATTAAAGTATCTTTTGTACAATGACAAAGTTAAATGTCAAAATTATAATTTAAAATCAAATAAGGGTCCAATTTATTACGTAAATATAGAGCATATAACCAAGAACATTTGTCATCTTCGTAAACCTAAAAGTTTAGCATTTTAACTTCTTCTGGTTCATCTAATTTGTTTCACCTCCGTCTGAAAATGCCGAAGAGAAGAAGGTATTACGGACGTAAAAAACCCCCAAAACAACAAAGAAATTCGGTGGACAGAATTTCCAATTTGCCAATTGAAATCATACGTGAAATTCACTTTCGCCTTCCACGGATCGATGCAGTGAAAACTAGTATTTTGTCCAAAAAATGGCAAAGCATTTGGGCATCTCATCCTAGAATTTTCTTGGACGAAATTGATTTTGGTGCCGACTATTCACGATACAGTGTTACAGATAAACCTAAAAGAGAGGCCTTCTTAACTCACTTGATCAAGTCCTTAGAAATCCGTCAGAAGCCCTCTGAATACAATTGTGATGTCGACAAACTCTGTCTTCGAATGACAGTTGAAAATTCTCCTGCTGAACTGCTCGTAAACAAGTGGATTTCTTTTGCCTTGGAAAATAGCATTAAAAGGTTATGTCTCAGTTTAAAAACGATTAATCGTGATCATTACTATCTCTGTGGTTTTGCATTTTGCGCTCATACATTAGTTCATTTAATTATATCGAATTGTGAGATTACAAATTGTTCCTTTGAGCTTCCTGCTCTTAAGTTACTCTTTCTATTTGTTGTTTGCATTGAGGATGATGATTTTAAGGATCTCATTGCTGGATGCCCACTGATTGAACAGTTACGCATTCAGGACACTAAAAAGTTGCGTACTATTGTAGTTTCAAATCCTAATCTGGAATTTTTCGGAGTGCATCTTCTTTGTTCTGATGGTAAAATACGCGTAGAGTCCCCAAATCTTCATTCGCTTGAATTTATTTCATTCAGCATAGACATGTGTGAAGTAGAGATTGCGTCCACGACAACAGTACGAGAGTTGACGTTGCGAGATGCTTATGACCCAGAAACATTGATACATTTTATAGAAAAGTTCCCTCTACTTGAGAAACTTATCATAGATGGTTACAGTGACTTATGCGAAGTTGAGATTACTTCCAAACCAACAGTGCGGAGTTTGACATTGTGCAATATTAATGATGAAGATTTGACATTGTTTGATTGGGATGGCGATGATTTAAAAATGACATGGATGAATTTTATAGACAATTTCCCTCTACTTGAGAAACTCATCATAGATACTTGCAGTAGGTTGCAAAAACTTCATATTTCTCAACCGAATTTGGTTAGCTTGGTGCTGAAGGATAGCATTGTGAAATGGGAGGCAAGAATAAATTCGCCCAAGTTGAAATCATTTGAGTACAAGGGTGGCCTCACAGATTTTACAGGAATAGAAGATTTACAAGAATTGGAATTCGTTCTGTTATATTTAGATCCCCTTAAGCTTCGTGATTACTACTACAGTTGGTTTAGAGATATTCTGGAGTCGTGTGCTCACTCCAAGCATTTGAGTTTGATCTGCGATATTGAAGAGGTAACCCTTTTTTCTCCTCCTTTTCTGGAACTCTCCAGTCCTCTATATGCTTACGAAGTTCCTTTGTTGTATGCCATACTGCATTTTCTTGATGCCCAACTCTCGTACCCTTGCCAGAGGATCATGTATTTATAAATATTATAACGTGACTGCAAATGAAATTATTGATTACACATCAACATAGGTTAGTTGCATATTAGCTTACTTTTCCTTTTTACTTATAAGCTATCTTTGGATGGCCTTTATAAGAAAGCATCGACTGTTTGATGGTTTTTTTTGTTACTTTAATATGGCGGCCTCAAGTCTTTCCCCTTTAATAAAAGCTTCTCACGAGTTGGAATTGTTCAATTTTGTTCAATTTTATTTATCACCAGAAAGCCAGAACGTTTTTCTTTTTTGTTAAAGGCCTGAATTCATAAATAAAAATAGGTATGAAAGCCATAATGCTTGCTTGTAGACAAATTAAAGCATTTGAATTCAATTTGCGTGTTTGTACTCATCTTTAATGTTCCTTTGTTGCATGACAGAACTTTTGCTTGATACACATCTCCAACTTCCTAATTCTTACTAGAGAATACATTGAGATAAACACAAAGAAAGTGCTTGCGAATTATATTGTTACAAAATAGGTTAATTGGATGAAATGTGGCGAAAGTTTTGACTTGGAACACTGAGTTTCATACTAGCTTACTTTGTATTTGGTTTCCAAGACATATGTAAGCTGCTTTTTGGTTATTGTTATTTGTAACTCTGACATGATAGGCATCTTGACATTCACAATTTACAAATGTTAATATATTGCAAATTAATGTTTGTTTACAATTTTGTCGATCATTTCGGTTTCAACTTGAAATAGACAATTTGAGGAGCATCTCAAGGTAAATAATGGTTTTCACTCTGTTAACTTTTTTCTAGTGAAATTCTTTTCCAGTCACAACCTTCCGAGTACTCTTTTTCAACTTCAACGTCATATAGTCTTGTTGTCCACATCAACTAAATGTTTTCCAAATGGGACTCCAGAACGAGTTGCTTTTGACTATACAATTGTTTGGTTACCAATCATTGTGAGTTGGTTTTGATGGTTGTCAGGTTGTCCTCATTCCTGTTGAGGTAACTGATATATTACCAGTAAATGATATCAAGAATCTGGAGTTAGAAATTATTTCACGTCATGGTACTTTTGAAGAGGTTGTAGATGATTTCACTTGGATTCTTCCAGATTTGAAGACTTTGTCATTGACTTTGGGTTCCACCACAAAGTTCTTCCAGGTAATCTACAACTCCAATAGGCAATGGCACTGCACGACTCACTAAGGAGAGATTATAGATTGAATGACTAAGGATAAAATTTTAGTATATGAGTGAGGATTCGACTGTTTTAGTCTTGTTAACTTTGGTGTGTTTTTATTTCTTTGTTAATGTGATTGTGCTTGGCAAACTTCATATTCTATTATTGCAAATGCAGTTTCGTAGAGAGGAGGATGGTGAGCTCTCCGCAGAAGAAGTGCACAAACCAAAACCTGATAAGAGAGTATCCATTCTTAGAAATGACAAGTTATTCCATATTATCGGCAACGAGATTGGAGGATGATTTTGTTCTGTTTCATTTTGTGCAAACTAACTACTTCTTTTTGGATGATCCTCTTTTGAGAAAAACTGATCAAGTTACTGTTTCTGTACATTTGGGAGAAAATGGTCCTTTTTTCAGTTGATGGTTTAAAGTATGTTCCAAGTCAAACGGTTGCATATTTACTTATAAGTTAGGATATTATATACCTTTTGATGGCCTTACCAGAAAAGAAGTTACTCTCTCCATCCCTATTTACCTGTCGTTCTTATTAAAAATAGATTTTTCTTAATATTTGTCATTTCAAGTTCACACACTCGTTCTTCGCGTCACAGTTGATAATTCTTCTGCTGAATCCATGGTCGAAAAATGGATTGATTTTGCCTTGAACAATAAGGTTCAAAAAACCACATCTTAGTTAGTTTTAAAATGACTTATGAGCGTTTTGACTTGCGCGATATTGCATTTATAGCTGCTTCATTCGTAATAGTATTTCAGTAATTATTAGCAGTTACATATACAGTAATTACTTAACTAATACAACATATATTTAAAAAATAACTTTATATCAAACATAAAACAATACAAAATATGTATATAGGATTCACTTTATCAAAAATTAACAATAAAAAGATATAGACAAAATTGAAAAACGTAATATTTTAATTTATTGAATCGAAAATTAGTAAGCTAAAAGTATTTTTTAATGTAAACATTTGTAACAGTGGAAAGTAATGTTATAATTTGAAAATTATTAGATTTGAAAAAACAAAGTACGCCAAAAAGGTATTGATCAAGATTCTTTTGGGAAGAAAGTACAAGTCCTTCAATTGTGATCTTCTTGTCCACATTGTCATAACAATTCATGTTTGATGTTAGTTTTTCATCTGAATTTTTCTTGATCTGCTGGACATCTTTTATATCTTGTTGGCAAGATATCTTCTTTCGAAACACAATTCGAAACTGATCAATCACTTTTGTCCGACATTAATTCCATTGAAACTGCATCACAATACATATGAGCAATTATACCAAATATAAAATAATAGACGCTCTTGACACAAAGGTTCAAGAAGTCAAAACAACATCCCAAGCCAAAAGAAAATAAAAATAAAAAACAGTCATAAAAAAAATAAAAATAAAAACTTGTAGTTACTATGTCCGAAGACCACCAATCTTGTAAGAATTTTACATCTTCCGGTCGTAGGGAGGGTGGCTCACTGGAATGAACCAACAATTTCTTTCCACTCCAGAATTTTTTTTGATCAAGCAGTTTATTGGAAGAAAAGGGAGACACAATTTTAACAACTTGAAATTTAAATTTTTTAGTTATGTTACCTTTTTCTGAACGACTTATTGTTAGAAGAAAAAAACGTACACTTGATTTGTGAGATTTAATTATATTTTCTGTTTTTAATTTCTAATTTAGGGCATTAAATTGATAACAAAAATTATTAAAATAAAGTATCAACGTTTTCCAATTATATATCCAAAAGGTATTAAAATAAAGGATTTTCGAAAGAGTGGAGATAAAATAAAATTTATATGTTATACTGTATGGTTTGCATAATTTTAACAACAAATTAAGCTATGCGGGCTAATCTGACCCGGAATGAGTAATGGGCCTTCACCTCACAGAGGCACAAATTAGGGTTTCAGAGGCGCTCCTTCCCCTATAAAGCTCAAAAAAACTCCCAAGCTTTATCATCAAGTATTCTTAACCCAGCCTTTTATTTGCTTCAATGGTGTTCACCGTTTCTCTGTTCACATTGGCGTAATTGTTTTACTTTCTCTTCTTTTCTGTTTTACTTGCACGTAGCCTCCCGGGCTCATCTGAGTTTACAAAGTGAAGTTAGAAGCCCCAAAGCTCGTGCTAAATTTAACCGCCGCTAGTGTTGCAGTTTAGCCCTTTGTACCTTCTATTCATGGCTAATTTGTGTCAAATCAACGGCAAAATCCTCAGAAAATTCTCTAATTTCTTAGAATTTGGCGATGATTAAAACGGATTTATCCGCGCTTCTGAGAGAAATCGATGAAGCATAACATAAATTGGTTGAATTTCTTGATATGAGCTAGATTCATCATTCTTTTTTTCATTACATATTTTGGCAGTGATGATTTCTAATACAGCTTTAATGCCAGTTCTGCTTCTGATATTCTGTGATTGATAGAGCTGTTTATACTACTGAGCCTCTTAATCTCATTTTAGTTAATCCTTTTTCTTTGTTTATATTTAAATCTATGACGAGATCTGAAATTGCTGGATAGTATTTGAGATTGCAACTAGCATTCATCATGAAATTATTTAATTTCTCCGAGATTCATAAATTTGCCGATGATGATCCAATCCAACGGTGAGGTGTAGTGGATCTAAGGTCCCTGCTTTTGCAGGGGGAACCTCCTTATTTTCACTACATCAATCATGATCACAACGGATTTTACTGAGGCTTTTTTCATAGTTTTGTTCTTAATTTTTTTTGAGTTTTAACTATACTCTTGCTCTTGAATATATTAGTGGGTTTAGGGTCTGAAAAACTCGAAAAATTAGTGCTGTTTATCAGCTTCTTCTCTTGAATAATTCAACGAGATGGAGTTAAATCATGGCACTAAATGTTTATAAATTTTTTGTAATGCATTGAGTTTTACTCCATTTGTATTATGCTCACTTTTGTGGTTGAGTGTAAATGAAAACTCATAAATTGCGTGCAGTCCATCACCTCCTATCTTGCATATTTCACTAAGATTGGAGTTAAATATCAGCACTACATGTTTGTAAAATTGACTATTAAATGTTTGAACAATTTCATTTTTATAATTTCACTAACTGTAACTAAAATTTGTTTTATAAAACCAAACAATACTAGCAGGACAACTTGTATAAGGAGTATTGATGAAATGTTGCGCGCAACACAAATCCTAGTTGTGATAATGAGTATTGATGAAATGTTGCGCGCAACACAAATATAATATGAGGCATTAAGATATTTCACTTTTATTAATACCTAATTTGCACGACTATTATTGTTTATTTATGATGGTTAATTGTGTTGTGTATTGTGGAAGACAAACTTGTGCAAAAATGAATAAGAAGAAAGGTGGCATGAAATCAGTCGATGAGAAAAGAAAAGAACAATCTAAAACTGATTGTGTGCCCTTAAGAATTAAGAATTTTAAGAAGCAGTAGTAATTTAAACTTCGATAACTTTAACAAATGCAAACAATAGCAACATAGACTTGTGTTTAGGAAGAAAATATATCTAAAAGAATGAAAAATAACTCTTTGGAAAAGGCCCAAGGCACAATTGATGATAAATTATCATGCAGTTGCCTTTTGAAGATTGTCTAAAAATCAATAAGGGTAGCCTTGTTTGCCATTGATGATGAGGTAATAATCACCTTTCACAACAACACTATGAGAGCGAAAGTCTTGCGTAGCCATTGATGACAAGGTGATCACCTTTCACAACACTATGAGAGTGGAAGTACAGTTCAATAAAATGTTCATAATCATCTGGTATCTAAGTTCATTTTGTATCTAATTTTGCGGATCTAAATCTCACCAGACCTCCCCCTTCCCAAATTCACTGTTGCATCTCCTAAAATATAAAAAAAATCAAGAAAAAAAGTCTCAAGAAATCAAATACAAACCAACCAGAGGGGATTTGCACTATTTTGAGGGATGAAAAACCCTTTTCCATTGCCTCTTTTGCTGCCTCTTTTCACTCATTAATATCCTCGTCTATGCAACTTATGAGGAAAAATAGAGCATCACTCCATATGAAGTGATCCAATCTTTGTTGCATAACACACTTGAACAAAAGTTCAACTACTTAAAAATAGCAATTTTGGCATTCTGCTAAAAAATATTCTAAGTACCTGGCAAAAGTCACTGTTGGAGAACTTTAGCTGATTGTTAACCAACTGAAAGAATGGGAGAAAAAAAATGCACAAACGAAAAAGGGCAAAAGACTATCAAGAAAATAGCCTCTGCATTTCTAATATGAACATGTCAACTGCTGGAGTTACAAAGGCTCCAATTGGAAAGAAAAAAAAGGTGACTAAGACCATTCAAAAAATATCACCTCCCTCATTTACCAATAGACAATATATAGTCAGATCACTAGAAGTGCGTCAATTTGTTGAATTTTGTTCCACCTTATTGCGGAATATATGCACCTTCAGTATAAGTTCATCAGCCTGAATGTCCTTGATCAACTCAAAGACACAAGCATCTCCTAACACTAAACTATTATCCCTAACAAAATGTACCCATCCTTTGCTTAGAAACATACACGTTTTCCTCCTAAGGCAATGTGCAGTCCACTTACTGCCATCAGAATTTTGAAGTTTAATTGGTTCTGAAGTCTTTGGCATATAATCTCGGCTAAAATCAGGTGGGATATTCTGCAGATTAGGACAAATTGCGAAGTATGTGTCAAGATTCAATAAGAATGTTAAATTAGTTTTTACATGAGCAAAGAACATATTAAGATACAAAGAAGTTTCAGCCAAAAAAAACAAAAAAATCAGACACCTTTAGTTTATTGTATAGGTAGACAGGCTCACCAGAATATAGTTCCGCACCACGTGATATTCTCCAAGAGTTATCATGAAGTAAGGATTCTCTGGCGTAAACATTTTGGCAGCAGTAGTTGCGCTGTTTCCTTTTGCATCCCTTAGTCGTCTTCCTTTACGACGATTACCAGAGCTTCCATGCACTACGGATTTCTCCTCTTGCTGTCTAGATGAATTCTCTGTATCTGCAATTCATCAAATTAGCTCTCAGTGATGCAGATAAGTTTTTCGAGCTTCAGATATTCTGTTGGCTAAACAAACTAACCAGTGTTTGCTTCTGCATCCCTTGGTCGTCCTCTTTTACGACGATTACCAGAGCTTCCATGCACTACGGATTTCTCCTGTTGCTGCCCGAATGAATTCTCTGTATCTGCAATTCGTCAAATTAGCTCCCAGTGATGCAGATAAGTTTTTCAAGCTTCAGATTTTATGTTGGTTAAACAAACTAACCAGTGTTTGCTTCTGCATCCATTGGTCGTCCTCTTTTACGACGATTACCAGAGCTTCCATGCACTACGGATTTCTCCTGTTGCTGCCCGAATGAATTCTCTGTATCTGCAATTCGTCAAATTAGCTCTCAGTGATGCTGATAAGTTTTTCGAGCTTCAGATTTTATGTTGGTTAAACAAACAAACCAGTCTTGTGATTGGTTCTATCTGAAGATAATGGTTCGAATGCATCTGAACTCTTTGTATGCTTACTTTCATCGAACTGAAGTACACAGTTTTTACCAGTAGACAGAGTTTGTTCAAATAGGCTACCAGTGTGTAAATTTTTTGAATTTTCTTCCACCCTATTGCGAAACATGTGCACCTTCAGTATTAATGCAACAGCCTGAAAGTTCTTGAGCAACTCAAAGACGCAAACATCTCCTACCAGTAAACTATTATCCGTAACAAAGTTCAACCATCCTTTGCTTAGAAGCACCCGAAGTTTCCTCCTAATGCAACGGACTTTCCACTTATTTCCATCAGTATCTTGAAGTTCAATCAGTTCTGAAGTCTTTGGCATATACTTCCGGACAAACTCAACTGGTATATTCTGCAGATTATGACGCGTTGTGAAGTATGCATCAAGAAGAATGAAAGATTAGTATGCATGAGTATGAATATATTGAGATACAATGCAGTTTAAAGAAGAAAAAAATGACACGTTCAGTTTAATGTATAGGTACAAAGGCTCACCAGAATATAGTTCCGTTCTACGTTGTATTTTTCAAGAATCTGCAAGAAATAAGGATTTTCTGGAATGAACATTTTGGCAGTTTGAATGGCCCTGCTTGTTTCTGATACCTTTTGTTGTGCTCTTTCGCGACGATCATACCTTCCACGCCCTAAAGATTTCTCCCGTTGCTTGCTCGTGAACAATTTCCTTGTACCTGCATTTATCAAATTAGATCTCAATATGATGCAGAGAAATTTTCAAGCTTACAATATTTGGTTAGAAAACAAACTAGCTGGTTTTGCAATTGGTTTTATTTGAAGATACTGATACAAATTCATCTGGAATCTCCATATATTTACTTTCATTGAAATGAAGTACTTTGTTTTACTTCTCTCTTGTTCATTATTTGGATTAGTCATACCTCCAGTTGCCACTGCAGAGTGTATAGGAGTTTTAATACTTCGCCGAACAGATTTTCCACCTACTGGCTTAGTTAAACTGCCATTGCCCGATATGTTCAAATTCTTCGCATTTAATAGCTGTCCGTTATCATGTAATTTGTTTGTTTTGCTTCTTGTTTCATAGCAGCGTGTAATCTTAATCTTTCCAGATGCTATTTTACGTCTTTTGGCTCTATGCGGAAGTTCAGATGACTTAGCTGAACTCTCTGGTCCCTGCTCAGTTTCCAAAAGATCCACAATTTCAATGGAGCTCGTGAAGCCATTATCACCAACAATTTTATCCTTTCTGTGAGAAAGATCCTGAGCAACATCACGTGATTTAGCATAACCATGACTCCTAAGTTGATAATCAATCTCAGTAGCGGCTAGGTCAAATATGTGGACATTGAAACATGAGGTCTGTCCATATTTGAAGAGTAAAAAGTACCAACAGTTGACAGAATGATGTTCCATAAACTCTTGCCAACCATCATGAAGCCAAATCATTTTACCAGCCTTCTTCAGGCCCACACACCAGAAATCATCAGTGGGAACAATAATCTTGACGGTATCAAGGAGTTCATCTCCATGTTCCCGGACAAATTTGTCTGGCAACCGCTGCACACACAAACAACAAACATAGATTTTTCAAATTAAGATCAGACATAAGTTATAACCATTTAAGACATAAAATTGTAGTGCAGAATTATAAAACTAATTAGAACGATGCAACACAAAAGTTTTACCAATTTCGAATTGAGTGCTCATGTACAGCAAGCAGAAAAACAATCTTAACAAATAAGCAGGAGCCACGAGACTAGAAGAATATGGCTGACAATCTCAAGAATTCGACCAGTACCAACAGTGTAATCTAAAGCCAAAAACTAGCCAATTTTCCATAGATTCTGAAGAATCCATATCCGAAACTACACCACAAGTATTAACTATGTATGTATCCTTGTTTCTGTTCTATTATCAACCATAGATTATCCATTATTGCTTTGTTATAAAAGGAGATTCTAAGTAACTTAAGGAAGGGTTACAGGTTCAGCAAAAACCAGTAACTTTAGCTGAAACTCTCATATGGATAAATAATCTATCAAAAATCCAGTAAGACAAACTATGGCGGTGAAGTACAGTAGTTTTAAACCACCTAAAAATCGTACTGAAACTTCATATGAGAAAACCTAAACTAGACACCAAGATTCTAAGCTAACTAATATTGTCTGGTTCATATATTACAGTTTATGAGTTCTAACTTCTACATACACCACTAGATCACCTAAAAGATAATTAGGTGAACTGTTCAAAATAAGTATGAAAGTACTAACCCATAAAATAAAGGTAATACATAAATAAACACTCGAACTTAGTAAACACTCCAACTTCGAGATCGAGAGTACATATATAGACATTCTCGACCTGCAACTAAACACTCTAACTTGTCCCTATGATGCTAATACCTATATGATTATTTTGTAAATTGGAGCGTTGATGAGTTAATTGTCTATATTTGCACTCAAAATTGGAGCTTTATCAAGTTTGAAAATTTCGATTGTGCATAAAAATAAAGCATTCAATCAAATTGATACAGCAAATTAAATCAGTAGAATGTGCCCTAAATTCTCTGTACTATTGTAGTAACAACTTACAAGTTGACGATCATCCATGACAGAGGGCTCAACAATGACGTAGAAACTGCCGGCCGAGTAGGAGTTGGAGCAAGATTCCATCATCACGCCGCATGCACTGACCGATTTTCCGGTTGGCCAGTTTTTTTTTACCCTTTGGCTAAAATTAAAGGGTACAATCTGTTCGTTTAATATAGGACAACTTTGATATATAGCAAATAAAATATTTATATTTGTATGCTATAGTATACATAGGTTCATAAATTGGCATTACTCTTTTAATATCAAATAAGTGGGCCATAAATTTATTTAATATCTGATAAATAAGTTATTATTCGTTTAATATCTAATAAGTGAATCATCGTCGAGCAGCTTACCACTCTGGCCTTTACGTGTAGGATACTGTAGAAGATTTTTCGGCTTTTAAAATTGAAAGGATATATAGGATATATATTCCCATGAATAACAAAATATATTGTTAACTATAGGTAATTAAAAATAAATTTCTTTGCCGAAATATTTTATGAGAAACTTTCACATATAGTCACTTAGAAATAATTAATTATTCTTCAAAGCTATAGTTTAATAATTACAATTTGTACCTATATGTTATATGGAGGAGAAAGGTGAGCGTGACTGGGAGAGAGAGGCGAGAGAGGGGAAAAGAGTGGGAGAAAAGTGACTTGTATATGCATATTGATTAGATAATTGTACATTATACATATGTATTTGTATATATGACAAGAAAGATCGGAAGAGGAGGAGAGAGACGAGCGAGATCTAAAGAGGAAGGAGAGAGGCGAGCGAGAGAGGGCAGAGAGTGAGAGAGATGTGAATTGTATATGTATATAGGTTAAAAAAATTGTATATAATACATATGTATTTGTATACTCTGGCGAATTATACATATACAAACGTGACTAATTATACAAACTCGAAGTCAACCAACGTAATTAATGTATAATGTTAGTCGCGAGTGACAATTATAGCAAACTATAGCTATGGTGAGTAGTAATTTATAGCGTAATTTTCTCATATTTTAATTTCTCTGTTTTAATGTATTAGTGTTGGTGGATTGAGCTCCTCTCCAGATATGAATTCCTTCGGTTCTTTTATTATCCCTTTAATAATTTGACATATGTCATACAATAGTCTAATGGCTCAAATTTGTTTGATAAACTAAAAAAATTTATCATAGTTAATATTTATCTCACTTCCTTTCTGTTCTTAAAATCCTTTTGTCTCTGTCATAGTTTATTTTTTCAAATTCTATTTTGCAGCAAATCAACAATATATTTTTAGATTTTTTTTCTATTGTTGATATTTGAGACTTTGAATTCATTTTATTATTAATCATTGATAATTTTTCAATTGATGCCTCTCTCACAAAGTTTAATTGAAATTTTTCGAGTCAGAGCCCATCATTGGTTTTTACCTTTTCGTCTCAAAAACTTATATCAGTTTTTATATGCTATTTTTTTTTAAAGAAGTGTTTTCTCTGTCACTCTTACGGAACGACTTGGCAATAAATCCTAGATATTTTTCAAATTTTAGCTTCTTTGAAACTCCCTTTTTGCAACTTATTTTCATTTATTTTGTTGGATTAGTTAATATCTGTATATCAAATTTTTCAATATCAGACTTAGTTAAAGAAAAGAAATATGTAGAAATGGTGGAAGAAGAAAATTAAATATGATAGAAGAAGAAAATATCAAAAACATTCTTCGACACATGAACTCATGAATAATGAAAAGAGTCGCAATTATAAGTAATGCAATGAAATCGAATGAATAATACATTTTTTTATTAAAAAAAATATACATATCATTTTCCAGAAAGTTAATGATTTTTTAAAAAAGATTTGGAAATTGGGAGAAAAGTTTTTTTTCTTTTTAAGTAATGTGAGGAAAAAATTTTAAGGAGCCAAATTCATAATAAACTACGATAGATAAGAAAGGATTTTAAGTAAAAAAAAAAAGTGAGAAAAATATTAATTATGTTAAAACTCTTTAGTTAATCAAATAAATACTGGCAATTAGAGATTGGAAGAGATTCATTACTGGAGAGGAGTTAAATCCAGTTTGATTTGATATGTAGCTTTAAAGAAAAAAAAATTATTTTATAATTTTAAATTAATAATATACATATAAATATATCGTGTTTTAATCTTGTAATTTTAAATTTAAAGTTAAAAATAAAAAGTTACATAAAAAATATTTCATGATCGAACTATTTAACCGTAGTGATTTTCTATATTAATTAAGGGATTGATACGTATACTAGCACCAAAAATGAAATGTATGATGATCATTTATAGCTTCTTTCTCAATTTTGAACTATAAAAGTTCTTCTCATAAGATTTCGCACATTATAATATTAATCTGGTATATTATTAGTATCTTATTTGATGTTTTTTTCTAATTTATGTATATGTAATATTTGCATTAGTTATATACTATATTGTAATGTGTATTAAAGTGTGTATTGCTCATACTAAGGATTTTTATGTAGTAGCAATGTAATGGTTTTGATACATGCATTAAAATGATGAAAGACTCAATTGCCCCTCAAGACCCTTTTTACATTTTTTCTGCCATAGTAGTGGAGGGTATCTTTGTAAATTATTTTTTATGCAATATATGCTTTTTTTTATGCATCAAACCACACAATGCATAAAAATAATTTATACATAATTAATGCAAACATAACTAATACATGCATGGCAATGCAAGCATAACTAATTCATTTCATTTAATATTATTCTTATACACTCTATCAAACGAGTATAAATGTATTGGAATATTAAAAACTAATTTAATTTTTAAGTAATCAACAATAGAAAGAAATTTGCTTTTTATGTGACCTGACATTTCGATGAGTACCAATTTTTCCCTTAAGTTATACAACATATATTCACTTTAATCACTGAAATAAAATCTTTACGTTACGTTACATTAAATGTATATAGTATGGTTACAAGTCAAAACGTCCAAAGAATAAATAAAAAAAATTAAAACCCAAAACAATGAAAAGGAAAGTTCTTTTTTCAATGGGGTAAAAAATTCTTAAAAGTAAAATTTGAATAGATTCGAAAATGGTCAATGAGCAAATTAGGATAACTCAATCCCTTAATTTATGGGTTGGATATTATTTTATTTAAAACAACAGTATAATCTTCCAAATATAACATTCCTTTGGAGCTCTATATAAGAGTTGTACATGTGTAACAATTATCATAAACAATTCATCTTTTGAAATATTATACAAAAAAGTTAAAAAAAATGATGAAGAGCTACATTGTTTTTTCTTTCCTCTCCTTGGCAATATTTCTCACTTTTTTTCAACCTGCCTTAGGTAAGTACTTTTTTTTTTACAATTTATATTCAACTTACATTGCCTTTTTTTAATTTCTTTTAATAATTTTGATTAATGTGTATATGCATTTTTCGTGTTTTAGTGTCAGGTGAAATTAAATTTTGTCCGGGAACTTTCGAGGCTAATGATATCTGTGATAAAATAAGATGCGGATATCTAGCTCTGTTTAAATGGCGAGTGAGTAAGATGCCTCAGAATTGTAAATGTGCTCCTGCTGGAAAGAAGCATAGCACTTGCACATGTATGATAGTTTGCGATGCATAATTGTAATAGCAAGTAAAAAAAGTATATTGTATGGTTTTGATGTGGATAACATTAAATATGTGTCGACTGATTATGAATAAACGTTACAAAAATTTATCTTTTTTAATGTTCAATCTTAATATCTTTTGTATTAATTCGAGCTTATATTTTCAACCTTCTTCTTATACGGTTGTTTATGCATAAGGATTCAAAATATAAAAATCAAATGCTTGAGATTTGAATTTGAATTCGAAACCTCAATATAAGGTTTGATCATCCCCAATCACCAAGTCAGTTTCTAATCTTATGTTTCAAGAGATTCACGATTTACATATATATATATATATATATATATATATATATATATATAACGTTTGTCTTAACAAGGATTTGAAAGATAATAATACACAGTTTCTCATATATTGGCACAATTAGGGAAAATTTATATTATTGTCATTCTCCAATGATTTATAACGTGAACGCTCCTGTTTTTTTTTTTATGTAATGTAATAAGTAATAATCATCTAATTAAGATTTAGTAACTAAAATATATAAACAAATAACACTTCTATGTAAAGATAAAAATTAATTATTAGGTCACAAGCAGAACCATCTTATTTGATTGAAATTATATTATTTATATATGATTATATAATTATTTTTTAATGTTTATATATAGTAAATATTAAACCTCTTGAATTATTTCTTATTTTTATTTCTTTAGATTTTAAACCTCTTAAAATTTTGAATTAATGAATTATTGATTATTATTTTTTGTGTTTGGAGAGGGGAAGTTACAAGTGTCATTAAACTTAATTAACGGTTTTAAGATCTGTAGACTCGGGTTAGAAGCTGCCACGTTCAACAATTTACACTCTCTTTCTATGTCAAATCAATTCACTTTCTTCCATATACTAAACTAATTAAGCAGATTATGTAACACAATTACCATAAAAGTGTTAATTATTTAACATTTTGATAAGATGAGGGGTTTCTCATATTTGAAAAAAGCTCTTCATATCCGTTCTTGTTCCAGGCTTTTGGTTGCTTCTTGTATCAGGTATATGTTCTGTTTGATCTCTTAAAATGTTTGTACATTCATATAGTTTCTCATTTTTTTCTTGTGTAGTTTAAATTATTGGTGTGATATATTTATTTTTATATAGTAAATTATATTTTCAACACGTCCTCTCATGTACGAGCTGGAATTTCATCGATTATCATTTACTCCTTTATTTGCTACGTAGTTTTTGCATGGATTGCCTCTGTTACGGGTGGTCTTTAATTTTTGCCTCTTAAATTTTTGGTCGGCTTCTCATTTAAAGAAATTTTGTAGGGGGCATAGGCACATGCAAGCTAGATATCCAATTGGACACCCTTCGTCAGAAAAAATATTGCATATACAAGTAAATGATATACGAAGTGATTAAATAACATATTTTGGACACCCTTGACAGAATAGGTTGTTGTAGCCTAGTTGCTTTAGACCTTTTCAATGGGTTTCAAACATATTGAATGAGTTAGTGGTGGCGTGTTTCGTAAATATCCTGTCTCCACCACTAGGCTATAGTACCCTTATTTA